GTGTGTGTGTGTGTGTGTGTGTGTGTGTGTGTGTGTGTGTGTGTGTGTGTGCATCTCACCCACTCTTTTGAACCTCAAAAGAGCAAAGGTCATCATTATCTCTTTCTAAATCATGTCTGTCCAGTCAATCTCTCTCCTCTTTAGACCAGGTTTTTGTGGTTTTTAAAGGGCGCCATTGGTACGTTCTACCCCCCCCCCCTTATTTCTGTCTATCTGTGTGTCTTCTGTGTGTCTTGCTTTTCCCCTTTCATTTACTGACCGTTGTTGCGTGTATGTTGTTCTCTTTCCTCAAACAAACAAACGATCAATCAATCTAACAGACAAACAAACAAACAAACAAACAAACAAACAAACAAACAAACAAACAAACAAACAAATAAACAGTCAACGTTTTGTCATTTTCTCGGCATCTGTGACCACCGTGTTCTTAGTTTTCCTCTCCTCTCATTCCTGGGGATTGCATCTCGGTTCCTTTCTGGTACACCAGTCATCGATTTTCTTAACGTGCAAAGCACAGCTTGACTAATGGCATATCGAGGTAACGGTTTTCACGCACGAGTTGCACTTGCTACCCTCGGCAACACAGGACTCCCCCTAAAAAAAAAAAGACCCCCCCCCCCACAAAAAAACCCCAACAACAACAAAACTTAACGTGTATCGTTTGCCCAAAAAGCAATACCATCCACAAACACACTGCATCAGAACAAACTCTGAGATGGCAGAAATGTTCCGCTACTTCCTTTGATCTTTTCCATTTTTACCACTAACTGACCTCATTAGCTCCTCATTTCTGAGAGAAGTTTTGTTTCTTTCGTGTCTTTGATTCATGAGACGTTCCACAGCCTTTTAAAATCTCCACAACAAAAGTGTTTGGTGGAGTGTTCACCGTGCGATTTAAGCTTAATGATTTATCAATACCCTCGCTGAATCAATGTACTCAGTGCTTGCTTTATTTCCTTACTAAGGAACACTATTCATGGAAGCTAAGCGGTAGAGTGCAAGGTAGGCCTACATTATGTGTCCTCATATGACCCGCTCTCTTTTTTTCCCCAGTAGGCTCATGTCGCTAAGAGAAAGTCCCCCTCTCGTCGTCGTCCTCCTCCCCCTCCTCCTCCTCGTCCTCCTCTTCCTCATTATCATAATCAGCAACAGCAATAAAACTTACTACACAAGAACATTTTCAGTCAAAACTTAATACAAACCTTTTTCCTCGAAGTCCACGCCCATGAGCATACAGCCCGCTTCTGTTTTATTGCAGGAAAAAAGATTATAAAAAAGGCATGGAAACTGAATCAATGGCGTTGGTGGTCTAGTGATCAGGGTGTTGGGCTCGTAACCTAAAGGTCGTGGATTCCAACCTCGTCAGAAGCCCGGTGTTGTGTCCTAGGGAAAAGAATTTTAGACGAATTTTCCCCACTTCACCCAGGTTGGGATGGGTACCCGCCAAGGAGTTTAGAACTACTTTTAATCTCCTTGGTACCCGCCTATAGAAGACGAAATGTATTGTCCGTTTGTAGTGTTTGAGCGCTTAATTGTGAAGTGGAGAATGATCCTGAGTGTTCTAGAGTCTGCTGGGGTAAAAATAGTTTTAAAATGCATATATAATAGAGCATAGTGCAGAACATAGATATGCACTGTATAAACTACTATTATTGTAATTATTAATATTGTTTTGCCCCATTTTTGTT